GCACTTGTATGTAAAACTCAACAGGAGACATTTGCAGCTCAACAGTAAATGAGATTGTACTGAACTGTACAAGACGATGACAACAGACCTGCTGAGCAAACTCCACGAAGCTTTAGCCAGACCTGCTGAGCAAACTCCACGATGACAGCTTTAGCCCTCTCATCAAACTCATCCTTGGTGTTTTTCTTCTGCTTCTTCAGTGTGGCCACCACGTCTGTGTCTGGACTCTTCTTCCAGTCGTACAGACGGTCAATCTGAGAAAGAAACACATTAGTATTTAAATACTTGCTGCAATCATCAGTATGAGCATTCGGTAGTCAGTATCTGGTACCTTGTTAAGTGCTACTATGAAGGGGCATTTCTTCTCCTTCAGCAGGTTGATGGACTCAATCGTCTGTGGCTCGAACCCGTGCATGATATCCACCACCAGGATGGAGATGTCACACAGAGAACTACCCCTGTTCCTCAGATTACTGAAGGGTGGAGAAGAGTGCCATTAAACATACAAACAAGCTTAAAAAGCCATGGCTTAGTGCTTGACGTATACGGGTTTTCTACAGTATCGACACATTTTAGAAACTTTGTAACAGCAAGTTAACATTTAATATTAATTTCCATATAAAAACAAATAAATAACCATTAATAACAATTAGCAATTTTTGCAATTGGTAAGATTTTTTCAATAAGTCTCTTATGCTTAACACCACCAGGATGGAGATGTCACACAGAGAACTACCCCTGTTCCTCAGATTACTGAAGGGTGGAGAAGAGTGCCATTAAACATACAAACAAGCTTAAAAAGCCATGGCTTAGTGCTTGACGTATACGGGTTTTCTACAGTATCGACACATTTTAGAAACTTTGTAACAGCAAGTTAACATTTAATATTAATTTCCATATAAAAACAAATAAATAACCATTAATAACAATTAGCAATTTTTGCAATTGGTAAGATTTTTTCAATAAGTCTCTTATGCTTAACCAAGGCTGCATTTATTTGATCAAAAATACAGTAAAATAGTAATACTCCGAAATATTACAATTTAAAATAACTTTTCAAACATTTTTTCAACATTTTAAAACTATTATCAAAGTTAAAAACAGTTGTGCTGCTTAGTATTTTTGTAGAAACTGTGATACATGTTTCAAGATTCTTTAAAAAATTTCAAAAGCATTCATTTGAAATAGAAATCTTTTGTGGCATTGTAAATGTCTTTAGTATAATTTTTAATCAATTTAATGGGTTCTTGCTGAATAAAAGTATTTTTTCTTTCGTTAAAAAAGAAAAACTCACCCAAAACTTAAATGGTAGTGTATAAAATCTGTCTATTATTTTTATTTGGCACACAAAAATCAATAGCACAGTGTGTACCTGAAGGACTTGTGTCCAGGTGTGTCAATAATGAGCATGCCAGGAACCTTCACGTTCTCCTTGACAAACTGATGCAAATACACAAACACATGCCTTAATAAATCCCATGGAAAAACAGAATGAGAAAATGTGCATTACAGAAAGATACATACATTTTTCACCATCTTGGTTTGTTCTAATATGGTTTCCAGGGGCACATTAGTGGCTCCGATCTGCTGTGTGATCCCACCAGCCTCACCATCCTGAACATGTGTGTGTCTCAGCTGACAGACAGAGAAGAAGAAAACGATATTAAACACACAAAAACCACACAGGTTCTGAAGTCCACATCAGGCACTTTGAAACGCACCTTATCCAGGATTTTGGTCTTCCCTGTGTCTACATGACCCAGTACACAAACCACAGGAGATCGGAGCTTGCCAAAATTAATGTTCTTCAGGTTTTCCTGCCTTCGTTTCTGAACACAAAGAAAAACACGGTTGATTCCACTTTGTGTGCATAAATGCGTCCACTTTGTGTAGTGCAAAAGACTGTATGCGTACCTCTATGCGTCTCTTGGCCTTGTCATAAAGTCTCTCCTCTTTGCTTCGGTCATCGTCCGAATCGCTCTCGCTGCTTGACTCGGAGCTCGGCTCTTTAGAGAGAGAGAGCGAGAGAGAGCACGCGCGCACTTCTGTTGTGTGAACATCAAAGATCACACAACAGAAGTGCGCGCTCTCTCTCTCTCGCTCTCTCTCTCTGTCTCTCTCTCGCTCTCTCCCTACCGTTAAGTAACTTGTGCATTGTTTTACTTACTTGTTTTTGACATATCCGACCGAACTATAAACTTTCCAATGATGTCTGTGAGAACGGTATATTCACTCGGCAAGCTCGCGCATCTGCGCCGCCGCGCGCTCAATCCACTCAGCGTGCTTTGTTTATCAGCTCGCACACATCAGCTATACAGGCGTTAATACTGAATGTTTAACATTATATTCATTGCATACATATACTTCGTAGTAGACATCCATAACTCCTTTCTGCTGTCTGTTGTCAGTGTTTCTTTGTTTAAATATGGCGCTTATCACATGCTGTGTAGTATCGGCGTTTGGTATCGGGGCATTTTAACGAGTACGAGTACGAGTACAGGAGGCCAGTATCGGGCCCGATACCGATACCAGTATCGGTATCGGTGCATCCCTAGTAAATACACAGAGAAAGAAACGGGTATCGGATTAGTCGGGATCTAACCTTCAGGAGTTTGTGCTGTTGGCTTCTTTTTTCTCTTATCAGAGTAAACCGGCTTCTTCTTTGGCATTCCGTCTTTGGATGGCACTTCAACACCTGAGAGGAAGCCAATGACACCATCAGCTCCAAAAATATTTACTACTTCTTTCATCAAAGCTGCTGGCAGTCATGTTCTCACCCTGAGCCTGCAGCACTCGCAGCGTGGCTTCTGCTCTGGCTCGAGCCTCTTTCTGGGCCTTGGTAAGGAGCTTTCCCTCCTTCTTTAGCCTTTCTTTTCTCTCCTTGTCCTTTTGTTTCTTCTTCTCTTTCCTCTCGGCCTCTAGACGCTCCTGTGGATGAAGGTTTCAGAGATGAAGGAACGATAACGGTTTTGACAACATAAGCTTGAATGCCTGAGTCTTTCACTGACCTGCTCCTGTCTCTGAGCCTCCAGCTCCTCCAGCCGTCGCTGTCTCTCCTCCTCTTCTCTTTTGGCTTGTTCCTCCTCCTCCTTCATTCTGGCCAGGGCCTCTTGCATTGCTTTCACTGTTGCTTTGCTGGGACCCTTTTTCTTGTCCTTTTCTTTCTCCTCCTTCTCACCTTTCTTCTTCTTCTTGTCCTTTTTCTTTTTGTCACCCTCAGCCTCCTCTGTAGAAAATCAGAGGATAGAGGAACATAAATTGGAGAAGAAGCGTAGGACTTTCTGATGTATTGAATATTCACAATCATGCTGCTTTAATCAACTTGCAACTATTAGAGAATTAATACTTCAGTAACATAAATGGCATTACAATTCGTAAGTTTGAATAATTTCCATGAAACAGTTTATTCAAAATTCTGTGATTCAAACAATCATGCCAAATTATTTTTCCAAGGGCTAAAAAGAAAGGAGGAATAAATATATACAAAATTGTGTCTGTGGGTTTGAATAAATGTTTTCCTTCATTTTAGAAAATACATTAATACATAAATATCAAATATCAAGTATACACACGCACGCACGCACGCACGCACGCACGCACACACACACACACACACATTACCATTCAAAAGTTTGGGGTCAGTAGGGTTCTTTAATGTTTTTAAAGCAGTCTCTTATGGTCAGGCTGCATTTATTTGATAAAAAAAACAATTAATATTATGAAATATTGTTACTACTGTAATATATGTTAAAATGCTATTTATTCCTGTGATGCAAAGCTGAATTTTCAGCA